GCGTTGTCGTAGATAAAATTGAAAATGGCGTTTTCGTGGATCCTTGTCATTGGGAAAGGATAACAAATCAAAATTTGAAGCTTTCGAAGTATTTTTACTGCGCATTTCAGAGCGTTTAAGCAAATGGAGGAGCTGTTTTTTGCAGAGCTCATTACGACGTCCTGCCCGTGGCACCTCAGGCATCACCGCCGGCACGCTATCCTAAACAGCACTCCTTACTTGCTCTTCAAATATAGCGGCAGGCCGAGAACAGTTCTCATCATAAATTGAATAAGCGACGCTTTTTTGCATTTCGTTCTGCAGTATCGATAGATTATCACACTCGTCTTGTTTCTGGTCATCATCACTTGACAGAAATTCTCCGATATTTTGGCTAGTTGTTTTGTCCACGTTGTTGCTACCGTGCTTAGGCTGAGGCTGCGGTGGAACTGCATAGCTCTTTTCTGTCATGTCAATATGAGCACAAGCCAGCTGGTGTCTTAGAGCATAGGTAAATAGCTGTGCGTCGGTGATAATTTGATAGTAATCACAGTTCTGTTCGAGCGCATCCATCTCGAAAATCATCTCTTTTCTTCCACTCTCAGACTGTTCGAGGTAGAAATCCTCCATATTATCTACTTGCAGTTGTAACGATTCAATACCTGCTGTCACTTGTGTTAGGCAAAATCTGAGAACATGTGCGTTTTCAGAGCATCTTTTTTTTGTGTTCTCTGTCAAAATCCAATGTTGGCTCAAAAACATTGTAAGATTCGAACTTGCTGAGTAGACTTGCAAGCGTTTGTGAGTGTTGCAGAATAGCTTCTTTGACGTGTTTGAGTGACATCTTTGGTGTCATTCTCATTCTGTTTTTTTTGGCTGTTTTATTAGCCGATCGCTTTATTTTGCGAAATTTGAGTGGTTGTGTCACTCCGAACCTGTGCCCGTTGCAGGCGGTGCAGTGGCTTTTAGGGAGCTGGTCCTAAGGTCAGACTTGGCTGGCCTTCCCTCTGCTACTAGGAGCAAAGCACTTTTTTTTGGGTACTTGGTCCCAAGGTTAGGCTAGGCTAACCCTTGTGCTGCTAGGAGCACTGTATCGGTCGTAGTTTGGCCGATGCACCATAAAAATGTGCTGACTTTACCAGTCTTATGGTAAAGTCTAAGAGGATGGCTGACCAGTCTTATGGACAGCCGCTAGTTGGAGCTTGGTGGCTCCCATGTGTTATACAGTACACATAAGCTTATAAAAGCTTTATTGAGACATCAACATACCCTCATTCGGATAGTGGTAGAATGCTGCTCCTGATAGGCGGAGCAAAGCAAGGTAATGCATATCATTACGAAGATATGACTCGAGGTCGCGAGTTGGTGACCTCAAGCTACAAAAGAGTCTAAGTAAGAAGGAACTGATAAGATTGGAAGAGGTGCCGAATATATCGGCACAAAGCCGGTATCTCTACCAGTTTGCCAGCCGTTTCCGCGGCGCTACGCTTATTATAGCAAGGCAATCATTGAATATCGTCCTATGATTAGTGAATGGACTTTTCGAATTACAACATTTTCGAGCACCTAAGCAAAGAATGTGCTACGTCACATTAATTGAAAATTAAGAGATCGGATAGGCCTGCAAGTGTTGGTGATTTAGCCGATCTCGCCTAAACGGGCTTTTGCACGATCAGACACCACGTTGGAGCACTGCGGGAGAAGGGCGCACGTTTCTGATCGAGGTTACGGTGCGAACGGAAGGCACTTACCCAAACGAGATTGACGCATACCACTTCTGGTGATTTGTGCGCCGAGTTTCTCCATTCAGTGGCGTGTCAGGCCCGCGTGATTGTTTCAGATTGGGCGCTAGTACTCGAGTATAATAGTCGCCGAGAATGTCCCAATCTGTCCAAACGCGTACTATAACATTTAGGCAAGATATTCGAGTTGCCGTAACATGTTGCCTTTAAACGCGGACCCATTTCCACAAATGCCAATGCAGAAGCTGTCGAGGAATGAGGAAGCGTTTGATGCACCAACAGACTGACTTAATTGCATGTAACATGCTGCACTAATCATAAGCGCGTAAAATCATAAATTCGTAGAATCGTTTATTGGGGCTAGTGCCAGGACTAAAACTAAGTTCTGAAATTTTCTTCCAAGCAATAAAAAGTCTCGATTATGTAGAGATTGAGCAGAGCACAAAAACTCGTTTGAGACTCTGGAATCTGCGCACGATGACAACGCCCATCCAGTGAACTATGAGCGAGAGAGAGTGCGGGAAAGTTAGTATAGAAACACAGGCGCACATGGCTTTCCAAAGACGTCAGCAGTATTTTAAAGGCATCCTTTTTTACAAAAAGCAACGTGGTGCATCTCCATCTGAGACGACGCTCAACGTCTTTCTCAAATTTGGCTCTCATGATTACAGAGCACAGTAGGTATTGATGGTGATAGTACGTCATGCACAATTCACTCTTCGTGCTGTTAGTTTCAAATGACAATTTGTGAAGTATTTTGTTAATGATGGTTTTTCGGGTTGATTTTCAAGTCACAAATTCTTGAGGAACAAAGCCTCGTACCCTTCTAGATGAACGGTGTGATTGGCTCAAACTGATACTGCGCTAATAAACTTTCACAGCATTTTTGAGGCGTAAATTGACCACATTTTTGTCTTCATCTTTATCATCAACATCTTCATTTCCTACATATGGCTTCCACAAAACTTAATGCGTCTCATTCTGCCGTGTAACACTCCTCTACGGCCGATGTGCTGCTTCCCAGAGAATCTTCTGCCCGAATGTTTTGGATTCTTGTGCACTATTACTATCTTCTTCATCATCAGACTCTAAACACATTTTCTTCCCAAAATTCAGTATGATATTTGTCTTTAGTTTGCGACCTCTTTCTACGTCGTATTGTTTATATTACACTTCTCACAACTTTCACCTAGTACCAGTGGCGATCCCAGGATTTCGGACCGGGAGAGGGGGGGGGGGAGGGGGAAGGGGCGACAAAAACTTTTTCTGAGTGAAGGTGCATGGCGTTAGCTACGCACTCCGAAAATTTTTTTGGGATGCTTCCCAGAATTTCTGTGGGCCCATAAAATATTAGAAAAGGGGGCCGAAAAACTTCTTTTTAGTAGGCTAATTTGAATTCTTGAAAAATTTTAAAAATTTCCTCAATTATTTACAAGTATAAACAAGTCACTTGCACACTCAGACCTCATTTTTCGTACTGCCACAACCTAACGTAACACTTCGTATCCTTTCTCTGTCACTTTAACGAAATTAAAGTGCTTCAACTCTCCTTAAAGGCAATGTCCCAGCAGATTCGCGCCCTGGGGGACATCGCTATGCTGAGGTTCCTGGTCATCCCACTGACCTCCAGGCGCAGTCCGGCTGGTTGATGTTCGCCATGAGCCGAGAAAATAGCCTTAAACCGGCGCGCGCAACCCCAATCGGCGCGCGCTCGGATGACTTCCCGTTCGGCGGGGGACCCCACGACCGCTATCCCGCATTATGCATGCTATCGAAAGCAAAAATTACAGGCATCAGAGTCTTCGTGCCAGGGGTCTCTCCAACCTTTCATGAAATTCTCGTCCTAGCTGCCGTTTGGAAATTGGGTAAACGCTCCGAGAAAGGTCCACCCGTCATAAACCTCAGATTCGGGGTCTACGGATCGAAAAGGCCCAAAACATGCAAAAAAATGGAAGTGCAAAATCCGCCGGAACACTATCTTCAAGAGAAAGTGTACCACTTTCGCGCGCTCTTCTGCGCCCACAACCTATGAAAATGAGAAGATCCTTAGGGAACGGCCGTAGGTTGCCAGCAACTGTTGTCCGTGTTGTCGGTGTTGTCGGGGTTGCCGGTTGCCGGTCGTTGTAGGACCTCATGATAGCCTCCACGTTTCGCGTTCTGTACTGCCTCTGGCCCCGACAACCCTGACAACACCGACAACCTCGACAACAACGACAACACCGACAACCGTTGCCGGCAACCTATGGCTGTTCCGTTAGCGAGCAGCGCCATCATAAGTGCTGTAAAGATACTGAAATAACGATCCACTACACGGCGTAAACGTCGTTTGGGATCGTTTCAAGCGCCCTTCTCCTAATCTTGTTGTGAGGTTTTTCGTGTGCCATGGGGTATTTGGTGGAAGGTACCTATTTTAACGAGTGTCAAAGGTTGTCCACGCAATATTTAACATGTGTGGCTGCGTCAGGCGCTTCAATGTAGTTTCTAAATTTCCTAGCCTGATAATCAGGAAAAAATATTGGTAACCTCTAGTTTGAAAGACCATAACTTTTACTAGAATGTAGTAGGCCAGCGCGCTCTCTGCTTGCTGCATAGCCAGTGGTCAGGTCAGGTAAGGCACCCGCCATACTTGATCCGCTTAATCCACTTGATCCGTTTCGTCATTGGTCGATTCAGTGAATTGAGCAATAGCGAAGCGGTTGTCCGCTTGATCCACTTCATCCACTTCACTATTGGTCAGTTCACTGAATTGACCAATGATGAAGCGGATCAAGCGGATCAAGTGGATTAAGCGGATCAAGTATGGCGGGTGCCTAAGCAGTGCCACCGAACTTAGAAATCACACAATTTTTGCAGAACACCGCAAAAATGTCCAACGTGCTGAGTTTTTCGGGCGCCTCGGCGGGCTCGAAAATTGCCTGTTTACAATAAAAAATGAACGCAAAACAAGATCTGAACGTCTGAATTTCCGCATATAATTAGCTCTAGGCGTGAAGCAATCGAAAGCAATCAAGCCGGGAACTGTCATGGCCATGTTTGATTATCACTTTCTCCCTTATAGCTTCTGGCCTTACATACGATGAGGAAGTAGGCCATGAACGCAACATCACACAAATAAGAAAAGAATGTTTTATAGTGACTAGCACAGGTAACAATAACAGGCTAAAGATACTACAAACGAATAGGTACACAATGCTACAACCAGTTCCATGATGTTGCTCACCCATTATGTCCCAATTTCTACACGTATGCTGTACAAGAGTCAAGAACTAGTCAACGTGGGGTCAACGAAACAGAAGCTATATACAAGCATACAAAGTGATAATCTAAAAGAAGCTAAAAACTAATCAATCACTTGAATATTTCGATTACAGAGTGATCGCCAAGACTAGTATCAGATAATTCGAGATTTGAGAGGCAAACAAATATCTACTCGCCATTTCTAAATTCAAAAAAGGAGTTATTGCTAGTAATCACAAAAGCGCCGGGAAAAAAGAAATGTTGAGAATATGGAGTGCAAAGCGAACTATTCGGGTCCGTGCAAGCGCTAAAATGGGGGTTCTCATTACTAAAAGACTACGGGTCTAGCAAGCAGATATAACCTGAATGTTAAAATGGAAGGTTATTCATTGTATAGTTACCGTCAATTTCCGTCACCTGGCTCAGCAAAACGTATAACAGCTTGCAGAACTAAGCCATTTCCTTGCTTTTCTATGCTATTTTTGCTCTATTTTTTAATCACAGCACTGGTCAATCGTTCAGGTCAGGCAGTTCATCGCACGCAGAGAATGGACGCCCCTGAGACCGAGTGGAACAATCTGTGCTCGGAAGAGACGACAGACGGTAAGAGCGACGATAGTCTGCTTAATAAGAGAGAGCCTACAGCGTAAGTGTCGCCGTGTCTCTGCATGCGAAGACTCGGCTACACCACATTTTCTATGATGTGCGAAGTCAAATTCGCGCAAAGTACGCGTTTTCCAAAAAAAGGTATAGGCGCTACATGACGAAGGCGCAATATCTTCGGGCGCAAACGCGGCTTTATTAGCCGCAGAGCGCATGAGGTGCGGGATCTACAACGGTGAGGATATGCGCGCGTCGCGTTTACGCACGCTCAACTGATATCGCCATTGCGCCTTCGTCATGCAGCAGGCTTTAGAAGAAGTGAATCGCACACGCTGTGCATAGGCAGAAAATTTTGTAAACTACCCGATCTAAACGAAAATCAAATGCATGGAAGTGAAATATTGGGAAACTTATACTTTCTTCGTTCAGATGTGAAGTACCTGCAAAAGAAACCTTTAGATAGATACCCATAAACTAGTAGATGCGAAACTAATCTATGACAGTATTCTTGCCGACAATACTTGCGCGTAAACAATGCCTATGTGAGCTTCACGGCCAATTTTTACGCGCAAGTCGCAAGCAAGTCGCCAGCATTCAAAGGCAGGGTACTGGACATTTGATTTCGCGCAAATGTTGTAGTCACCGCAGCAGAACTATATTCTTCTTCTAAGCCTAGCACTCTACAAGCATCCACTGAATTCAGCTATACGGTTCGCCACAGATGGGCGGTTTGACGGCAACTATTACGTCATATGTTTGTTTCATGAGCTCAGAATTATTGGTTCAATTACTGAAGTACTGCTTCTTCCAACTTACGAATCTTTTCCTTATTGTTTTTTGCCTCTTCATAAAGCGCAAGTAAATTTCTGAATACAAGATCGTATCGTTTCTGCACATCAATAGTTACTTTTTGGACGGTATCCATTCTCGATTTCAGTTCCTCCAGCTCTCTTTCCTGGGCGATAGCCTTCTTCTCCAACTTCGCTATCTGTTTTTGATAACTTAGTTTCTCCTTTCTGAGCGCAAGGATCTCCTCTCTCATCTCTACCAAGTCAGCTTGAATGTCGCCGTAATCATTTGCCAATTCCTTTGTGACATTTTTACAATCGTCACACTGGTCCTAAAGTGGAAGTGCCAATGGTGAGTTAACATAACATTTCACTTTTGTAATTTTAGGACCTGCAGATGTTCAAATTATTTTGCAAGAGTCAGTGGAAAGAAAAAGCCAATGTCTTTTTTAGCTTAGCTGTTCTCAGGGTTGATTAAAGTTTGCTTCAAAAAACCTACCTGCTTACTGCCAGTTATGGACGATGCCCACTCTAAAAATTAGAAAATTCAACCACAAGAAGGTTAGCAACAGAGGAGGAAATTATTCATGAACTCACCCAAGAGATTAAAAGGGCGGCCTAAAAAAAGACGCTCAAAATTCGAACAAAAATATTAGTCGGTTTGCAATTTCTGACCTTCATCCCTACAGCGCTGCCACATGTAGAATGCCCAGAACATCAAGCTGTTAACGGTCACTGTTCCGGCTAGAAACCACCAGTGACTGGGTGGAACTGGCGGTGGATCCTTGCGCTGCATCTTTCCTATATTAGGATTTGTGCACCGTTGCATAAATAAACGTCATTACCGTGAAGAAGAAAAAGCGAAGGACATAGACGAGTCGGTAATTTAAGGCCTGTGGAGAGTTTGCGGGTCCAGGCTGTGCAGGGCGATCACGTATGATTACAAATTTTGAGGTTAACATATTGCGAGAGCGGTTCTTTTTGGTAAAGAACTCTGTCCAGTACTCACTTGACGCGAGTTTAGATGAACACGACATGAGGGTTGTAGCACTGCTAAAAGTTCTCTTCGAGTATCACTTGCAAAGTAGTTCTACATCAATGCACAGGATTTTACGAAGTTTCGATAAGAGACAAATACTAGTAGATAGTCATGCCCTGCAAGGGGAGCACAAAATCATAGTGTTTTTGTAAAGTAACATATAATGTGCCCAAATGGTTTTCAGATAGTGAACTCAAATTTTTATGCCAAATTTGCGAAACGCATTTTGACAGAGTTACAAAAGTTGTTTTCTCAGCCTCCTAACTAACTCAAAATAATGTTTTTTTTGGTGTTATGGATAGTGGCTTTGACCATGCAGAACTTCTCAGTTGCAATTCTACTCAACAATGATTATTTTTTGCAAGATCCTTATGACTCCTTCACAATGATCGTTTAGCAGATTTGTGATGTAAATTCGAGATCACTGTCCACTGAAAAATATAGGCAATCTATTACATTGCCACCGCAATCTTGATTCCCTATTGCAAGTCTAAAGTGATAAGGCGTATAATAACCGTTGTCATATGGTTATTTTCGCTCTCAAGAAGTTTAAAAATAAAACGCATACTTTTGACAAGGTACCGAAAAACAACACACGATAATTTCACTCACATTTTCTTGGTGAACAAGACAGAAATTTAGCGCATCATGATCTCTTTACTTTCAATTAAGCTTAGTAAATCTTAGACACTTTCATACTTACAATCGCTTAAAAACCACATAATTCTGCATCAAAAGTCTAAGTAACGATGTTGTTGTAAGAACCCAAATACGATTAATTTTGAATACATGAAGGGATGGATGCTTAGGAGAAAAAAACCGTACCAGATTTTATTTGACCCACCGTTGCTGTCTGCGTTGGGAGGCTGTGTCGAAGGGCAGCGTTGGGTTTTCGGCCCTTAATATGAGTGATGGCTAACACATAATGAGATAATCTTTACAAACGTTTTCACAGTTAGTGTAAGTGTTTCCTCGCAAATTTCTACGTGACTTTAAGATTTTTGGGTGTTTTTGAATGTTGGTGTACGAGGAGGCCAAAAATGATTTTTTGTTTCCTGTATAGTCATTAGATTAAAAATCAGCATCATTTAGAACAACACAAGAAAAGGTCAGCGGATCCAAAAAGTTCACACAGCAGTAACAGAAATTTTACTGTGGAATTCTTTCCCTCCATGAAGGCGACAGCAGCACAATTAACCTGCCATTACTTGTCCTGCAGTAAAAAGAAAAAAAAAGAAAGAAGGTAGCAGTCTTAGCCGCAGCATCATTTTTGGAAAGAGTGAGAAAGAACAGACACAGAATGCAAATATTTTCAGATTAGAGATAATCTGCCCATAAAACCCCAATCTACTGCTGATAGAAATTTTACAGAAATCTCAAGTAATTCGATAAATACCGGTAGAAGAGGTACTCAACTTTTTCACGCAGATTTCATAAACTTTTCATCAATGAATAACGCATTCACCAGCAACCTTACAAAAATTACTGAAATTTGCTTTGATACAGCAGACAGTGACTAATACTGTCAACAGATACCATACAATCGCGCTTTTATCTAAATTCATAGCTATGGAATTTAAGACCTATCACCCTGTAGATTTACTGAAAATAGCTGATAAGTTTTCGTCAAATCAATGGAGCACCAAGAAAAAATAACGTTAGTCCTGATTGTTATATACCACACAAAATTTATATTAGGTTGTAACATAAGTTTTGTTACACTTACAGGAAAAAGCCTTCATAACTTTCTTCAAAAATTTTTTGAAACTTTCCTGAATTCAACTTGCGTATCGAACAGCCTAGACTTCCGAACTTCCCTCATATCAGTACTAATGTCCCTGGAAATCCAACAAAAATCTAAGAGCATAAAAAAAGTATGACAGAATTAGAGGCAGAAAAAAATAGCTTTGAATGCCGTCACAAATGTCATTATATTTACTGTAACCCATACCTGTAAAGGTGGAAACGATGCCAAAAGATACTCCTCTGTCCACTGCTCAAAGCGAAATGTTGGACTTTGTCAGTTTCTAGAGTCAATAGAGAATGAGAAAAATGTCTCAAAACTTATGCTACGACTTGATATTTTAAGCATGTGTCTAAGCACACGAATGGCACACCTTACATACTCCTTGTTATAAATCATAAAAAATTTACATGACATAATTGATGGAAATACTAGGATTTACGAACGGTTCTCCCACACAGCTGCATTTGTCACAAATTCAAAGAAAAAAAATCGAATGAAACCGATAAGTTCGCCTTCGACAATGGCAATTTAGACCATGGTAGCCTCAAACCAAAGTAATGATAAGTATAGCTATCATATAGATATACGTGCTGTAAGCCTTTACACTACTGATATCATCTCGTTAATTTTCAAACTTACATTAGTACAAAATAAACCTTCACTAACAAAAAGGCTGTGATATAAGAAGTCATCACTTGCATATGCGATTGATTGAATATGTTTAAAGATGACTAAATCCGCATATAATACTTCTCTTACAGTCAGCTGGTCCAAACTACCATGTGTATCACTCTGTTCTCTATTTACGAGTCTCAAAAATAGTTGGTTAGCCTTTACGTTGTCATTGTCTGGAAGTAAGAAGTATAACAGATTTTTCGATGAACATTTCCTATTACGGATAGTTATCAAGTGCAAATCATTTTTTGGCTTTGAAATCGGCATCCCGGGTTTCACTCCGGTATGGAACCAGTCCATCAGTCTAAACTCCCCATCCTGCACATCCTGCACACTCTGCACACCGCGCACACCCTGCACACTCCGCCCACCTGCACACCCTGCACAACCTGCACAGCTTGCACGCCCTGCACAACCTGCACGCCCTGCACCCGACTGTGCACAAACACACAAACTCACATATTTTCTGCTTTATATATAGAGATTTCTTCCAAAGGAAAAAATTGAATATATTCGAATATCGATCAAAAAAAGTGAAGAAAAAATGGCAGTGGCAATCAATGCTCATCTAAACCATTTTCAGAATTTTGATAGTATAATGTATTGGACTACTAACTAATGCATGTCACCACTCAGACTTCAAAAAGCCCAAAGTTTGGAGAAAACAACTGAACAAAACTGATAGATCCACGGAATGCAGCTGACAGCAGTCATGAGGTTGAGACACTAAAGATCGAGTTACAGCTACGCTATTTTGCATAAAGCGGAGAGAAGGTGCACAAATTGTGCACGATGAGTAGGAAGTCTCCTCTTCTGATCAAAACTCGATGAAAAAAAGTGAGGTTCTTTCACCCCAACATAAATGCAAGTTGCAGATACCAGTATTTTAGCGGTGGCGGCCATTATGGACGTAGGAGGAACGAAAGCATGATAGATATCATAAAGAGATTATACATCTTGATATCACAAAAATCAGCTTCGAAAACATTTATTGCATTGTATAGGCGGTGATGAACAGTTCTCACAGTAGCATAGTTGTAGTTCACCGTAATTATTGTCAATATTGCAACCGAGTTCAGTGAAAACATGATGGTTAAAGAGACAACCTGTCAAATTGATACATCAATGGGGGCCAAAACTGGTTTTCGCAGTTCAAACAGTTGAACTTGTGAGGATGAAACGATTAGATTTTCTATGCACAAATCAATCGATCATTTAGTGTTAGTTACCACTACATAAACTACTGCTAGTAGTACTTAACTGTGCATTTAATGCTAGGAAATTAGGCACTTAACATACAAGAAAAGCACACCTGTGAGAACCTCATTGAACGCCTCTCTAACTCGAGAAAGAGTTTTACGAAGCGGTGCAAAGGCCATTCTCTAAAAAGAGAGCAAAGCTGACCACAAGACTAGCAAAAATCTAGCATAAACTCTACATTACTATAACTTTGGAGAGGTGAAAAATTTACGAAAGAAGCCACATTTGAACTATAACGATATCTACAAATTGTCAGAGATTTTGAGGCTGAGATCTACTTCTATCCTACTGCCAATAAAGAAGCATACTAACCTCCACACACGAAATGATCAGTAGAGTGCAGCGCCAGGAAGTCGATAATACATCAAAAAGTGTGCTGCCTGTGCATTTGCGCGTGAAACATATGACATGCAGTTTAAAGAAAGAACGTTTAATTGTCGCGGCATTTCCGTGAGAACTGAGAGAGTCTGTCTGTGTAAAGAACGAACTAAAGTGCAAATAAGAAAGCATCATATGATGGAGCAAAGACTGGTGGTAACTAAGCAGCTGATTCCAACAGCTTGAGCTTTTCAAACGCGTAATTCTATCAAATAAGCTGAAAATATGGAGATGACACCAGATGAAAATGGATATGAATATGTGTATCAAGAAAGGCCTTTGCAAAATCAACTCCGAATTCAATAATCAAATGCTACGTTTAAACAAATCCTATAATTCTATAAAATTCCTTCAGCTACTGAAACTAGTAAATAGTCGAATACCTCGCCTGCTGCAAAACCTCCGCAAACCTCTAAATCAAGGATATGTCTTCCGCGGTTCCATTCTCCTTATTATGATGCATATGGTCCAATTCTTCAGCATGTTTCGAGACCTTCGACTCCAAATCAGCGATGCGCTTCTTGTGCTCCTGTATCTCCTCGTTAAAAACCATTACACGTCCCAGCTGGCTGCCCATATGTTCCTTTGTTGCTTTTAATTCCGATTCCATCGAAATTTTTAGACTAGCCATGCGTTCACCCTGTTCGTTCGCTTTGTGTTCAAGACAACGCATTTCTTCACCAAATTCTCGTTTTTCTTTTCTCAAAATGGCCAATTCATCTTTGAGTTCCTGTATTTGCCCCTGAAGTTCTTCATAGCAGCCCATGAGGCTCTTCAAAGAAGAATTGATTTTTTGCGTCGTTTCGGCATTAACCTGGAAGTTGAGAAATAGACTAAACAAGCTCCAAGAATGAAGAGTAAGCAGTGATTTACATATCTGAGAAACACTAAGGATAAACAAGCAAACTGAAGAAAATTTCTGATCTTGTTCGAAATGAATTAACTCACCCGCGCAAGTGTAAGGAACACAACATGTACAAACTGGAAGTGAAATCGCTCACCTGTGTTGTTTCAGCATGAGCACCTAAAAATCGCAATCAGCCTGTCCCAAACACCACGACATAAACCAAAACAGCTAGAACAGAGTTGCAAATCCTACTAGTAATGAGCCCATTTGGAAAAAATGGAACGTCTTCATATGACAGTAAATCAACTGAATGGTGGTATTTGATCCTATAGATAAAACCACAAGGTGCCGAGCACTTAAAAACATGCTACCAGCTTTGTGACAACAAAAAGTTCAGTACATTGGGGCGTACCCACTGACATCATAAACCGAAAGTAATCATGTTGGGAAGCTAAGATAGCATCACGCTCATCTTTGATTAAATCAAATCAAAAAGTTTTCGTGAAAAAAACTGGTTCGAGTTTGAAGTTTTCCTCTGAAACCATAAACGGCTACGGCTATTCCTTTCAAAATTGACATTATGTCAGGACTTCTAGCAACTAAAAATCAAAGTTCGTTGATATGTGGAAGAAGCTAAAAAGAACAGCTCGTACAAAGAAATATTACTGCAACCCGTTTCCTGCATCGTACCTTGACTCTGCTACAAAATGAGCAAGAAAAGGACATTTGCAAGTTCAGTGCGCAGATTTGAAGAATTTTCATGTTACTTCATATCAAGTGCTCGAACGAAGTTGTAATTAATAGTGCGTTAGATAATCAGAACGTAAGCAATCGTTTCTTCTAATTCAAAGCTTTCAGTTAAGCCTTAACTTGCCTTCTTCTCTACTGCGAATCCATTTATTGATGAGCCAAACTACGAAGGTGTTCACTACTACTGCTGCAACCAGGAACGGGAATGGTGAAGTTCGTGCTGGCGCATGGTGGCGCATACTTGGTATCTAATATCTGGAACTTATATTTCCAAACTTACACGTAAATCATCACGATAAGTTCAGTGACGATCCATCAAATATTGCAGGAATCAAAACAAATACAGTCGCGATTCAACAAAACAACGTTGCAACTCAAATTTATGAGTAAAAAATGTTACAACAAAAAGCTTAAAGAAAAAGCTGAGCAGCTTGAAAATGTAAGGGGAGGTAGACTCATGAGAGAAAACTGGTTGAGAGATAGGTCCTATAACAACCCGAACTTTCAACAAAAAAAAATCAAAATCAATAATTTAGCACTATATTATAGGCAGTGCACTTGTCAAGCAGACTGAAGTATGCATCATATATTTACATGTAGATAGGGTGTCAACGCTTGTGAAAACATTGTAAAGTAGCGAATACCACGAGATAACGCGGACTCCTGAGACCTTCCATTCGCATATTCACCCACTCAGTAGAGTCGGAGAACAAGGATCGCTCACCATAGTTGGCCATGCATCTGATGTCGGCTTGGTTATCAGCTAAATATCATGCAATTTTTGATTTACACCGCAAATCGGATAGGGTTCAATTTAAGGTCGCTAAAGGCGACCTCCATGCAGTCAAAGTAAAGTGTGACCCCATTCAAAGGCAGCGTTCAGGCAGATCTGGACCTATAGAAATTTTACGTGAAATGTAATTTTGGGACCCTAAGGCACTGCCTAAGCGGCAGCGCCGGTGACTCACTAACGGTTGAGATATGCGCCTCCAAACTGGACCCCAAGATCGTATACGCATGGAATCATGGTCGCGCAAGGACCCACGCGTTGCGCCATCAATCCATGCGAAACGACATGGGGTCCAATTTCGAGAGAATATCTCAGCCGTTAGAGCACTACCTGAGCTGCTGGTAGGGCAGTGGTTTAGTTTAAGCCCCAAAATTACAGCCCCGCGAATGTGTCCAGACTTGCCTGGACGCTGCCTTTAAGTATGTATAATTATGTTAGTTGATTTGTGACATGTTTATTCTGTTGTTTACGTTTGCTAATAAACAAAGTGAGATGGTAACCGCAACGAACGTGATCGGTCAAACAATTAGGTATCGTCCCCTCCACAGATCGTGCTACCCTTGGTCTGCGTCTCAGACCTGCCACGTGTGGCTAACATGTTGGCAACGTGGCAACAACATGTTTGCAACATGCCCCAACATGTTATCAGAACATTTTGGCCACGCCAACATGTTGCTGCATGTTGCCAACGTGTTGCTGCTAACGTTGCCAATGTGTTAGTCACACGTGGCACGTCCGCGACGCCACAAGGGTAGCACGATTTGTGGAAAGGACGATAAAAGTTGATGCAACACCTTGTCAATCTAACACTACCTTGGTTTTGACCAGGCTACACAAGTCAACGTATCCGAGCATATCCCTATCACACATCGCCTCATGGCTGAGTGCCAGAGATCTTCAAGGAGGAGCCAGGACTTGTCGACAAGTTCAAGTCTCACACTGAGAAAAGGTGCCACGTCTGTGTAAGGGCCAACGCAGAATACCGTTTGCAGTAGAACTTCTCGTCAACGCCTCGCTGCACTGTAGTACTGCCGTTCATCGATTTACTCACAGTGCGCTGCTCCAACTGTTCTTGGGATGGAGCAGTGCGCATGTGTGCCGAGTTCGCGACCGGCCATACTATTCCAGGGAGGTGATTCCTGTGACTCCTGTAGTCCTGCAATTCTTGTGATTCCTCGATTTCCGATGTGCTGCACTACGAAGCACTTTGCAAATTTCAGTATGCATTGTTTTTTCGCAATAAACATTGATATGGGACCCGCAGCAAACACAGGAATCGCAGGAGTTGCAGGAATCACAGGAATAGTATGGCCGGTCCCTTCTCCATCAGGCCTGAACGTTGCATTGGGATTGGAGTCATATCCACTACCGACCGCAGAATACGTCTTGACCAAAAAATGAAGGAACCTGCATCAACAACGATTTGCGTGGCGCCTACTTGCAAGTAGAAACGAAGAAAGCAAGAAATTGCTGACCGTCAGCCCGTCTCATGAGCTCCTCCGCTGCAACCGCCTACAACTTGGCGTGGAGAGCGCTCCCTTAAAGGCAGCGTCCAGGCAAGATCCACCCACTCAGATTAGCACACAGTTGTAAAACGGGCCCCATGGTATCCGATCTGCGTTGGTCCGGCCCTTTGACATGGCTTCTAGAAGGAGATACAGTCAAGTAGATTTTCCCCTTAATATAGTGTGCTTGCACTGTACCGTCTGCACCCCAGAGAGGTTCCCATGTGAACCAGCGTGCGTACGTGGTGCGACGCTGCCTTTCGCTCTTTTTGACACGTTTCTCCTGAGATTTCAACGGAAGTGCCCGAGGTTAACACGTTCAAAAGTGCGAAAGGCAGCGAGATGACGTGGTACCTATGGGAACCTCTCTGGGGCGCAGGCGATAGGTGAATTGCGGTAAAATTCGCGCGTGAAGAAATAGCTACGCCTGTGACGCCTTCCAATAGCGTGCGCAGAATGGCAACATTACTGGCGTGGCTACTTACTTACGCGCAAATTTCACCGCATTTCGCCAACAGTGCAAGCACACTATATTAAGCGGAAAATCTACTCGACTGTACGGGCCTTTGACACGCAAACGCCCCTCGTATCACAAAAACCTCCCCTTTGAGGACGTATGCTCACGCATCTACCGATCATGGAGTGCAACTGCATGATCGATCGATGGCGCTCCCCGCTGGCGAGCCGAGGGGATGAACAATCGAAACTCGTCCGCCCGTAAAACAGGATTTCCAGGAATTGGGGGGTTTTTTCTTGAGGGTTTGAACACTTTGAACTTTATGACTGTAATCAGGGCCACGGAAAGGCTCTAGAATGACAAAGCATGAGAAGCGAAATTTTGTCTGGAAGCTGCCTTTAAGCTTCCACTCGCAGAAGCAACTACATCGCCGACATCAGTAAAGCCGTTGCCCATCTGGACAATGCTGCGGTCATCGGAAGGACTTGTGCGGAGCACGATGCTAACGTCTTCAAGCTATTTCAATTCCTTCATGAGTACGGAAGGCGTGTTCGCCGTGTATAATCCATTTTGCTAAGCCTAGTCTGGCATTTCTCGGCACTGCCTAGAGAAAGGAATACGCCCCACCCTGACCGGATTGCCGCCATCGTTCAGTGCCAACGCTCTGAGATGTGAAGCAGCTCAAATCTTATCCTGGGACAGTCACTTCGCGGACCATAGGACGCCTTGAAGAAAGACACGTCTTCATCTGGAGTAAGGAATGCCACTAAACCTCGACCCACGATATCCTGACATCGGAACTTCGGCTGTGGCAATACGACTCCAAGAAACCGAATATCGTTGCCTCTGACGCAGCAACCGTGAAGTAGGAGTCGTTAATTCTCACAGCACCTCCGATGGTTCGGAGGCCGTCTGCCATGCAGGCTGTGCCTTGACTGTCACAGAGAAGAATAGCTTGCGACTGAGGCGGGACTAGCCCTAGTTTTTGCTGTCAAGAAGTTCCACCGGTATATCTATAGACGGCTCCACACTGCTATCGGACCACGGCATTCCACTCACTATTGGGGGAAGGAAGGAGTGGATCTGCATCGCCAACCGTTTACAATGATAATCAGTGACGTTACTTGCCTATGATCTCAACTCAAGTACCGCATGCTCTTTCTCGACTGCTTTCCTACCGCAGTGTACCGGATGAAGACGTCATCATTGCTATCATGAAAGCTGATGTCACATGGAAGCTTTCCTTCCCCTTTCAGCTTCAGGTGTCCCCTCTTAGGCCTCGGACATACCTCACGCGATTTCAGTCGCGACGCGATTTGGCAATACTCCAAACGTTCATAACTCATCGTACGGGGTTTCCGAATGTACGTAAGATGGGGCATTTTATCAACCTACAAAAGTGATACATGCTGTACATTTGGGGTCTACCAATATTGAATTTTAAAACATCTGGCAAATTGCCAGATGGCGACGGAAATCGCGTGAGGTATGTCCCTTGCCTCAAAGATACCGACGAAGCGGGGGAACGTCCGGAGGGCGACAAATGACCTAGAACAGGCGCAGCCAGTGGCCACGCCCTGTCCGAGTTTCCCTTTGTTAGGATGCTCTAGAGATTTGGATTGGGGCGCCTTTATACACATTGCGCATGGCTCTCTCAGTCTCTGACTTTGTCGTTTCTTCTCACCTGTTTTTTTGACATTTTTGTTTCGTGTAGGTATATTATTGCTCACTGTGGTAATGTGATGATTTGCTTTCTTTTGTATTTGCCTATCAGTAAGCATATGCTCTTCAAACTCCCTTTTGTAAAAACTTTTGTTTCAGGCATCAGCAATATGCATGGTGTAATAAAAGATCATCCTAGTAAGGAGGTTAGTAGACATCTGCGTTCTTGAGTGATGTGATACTTTTGTATTTTTCCATAAGTTAGGTATTTAGTTAACTATACCATATTTTTATATGTTAATTCTTGTGCAGACCTCGTCCAAGTTGATGATGTCGTACGGATACAATGTGAGCGAACTCCACTCAACAACGGTACTGTAAGCCAGTTATACTATCAATATCAAGTGAAGGTGAGCTATTATTTTTTTTGCATCTTCTTTACAATACGACTTTTCTTCAGGTTGAACATAGAAGAAGATTTGGAGCACTTCAAGAAGGACGCATTCTGCGGTGGGATCTCGATCTTAAGATGTTATTCGAGCACTTCATTTTTTTTTTGATTTCACGCTTGCGACACACTGTAATTACATTTAACACGTTTCGGACCGCGAAATCGCGCGCGGCGAAAAAGAGTGTTCTTTCAACCGTTAGCCAACAAAGGGACGTTATTTTGAAGACTGTATGCTACATCTGTAATGACCATGTCGGATAAGCTCCATACCCGAAATTCTAAGTGAATTAAAAGTGTTTCAATTTTGCCACTTGAGAAGGACTTCTGTGCTTTTCTGAAGGATAGGAACAACAACTCAGTTTCTGATAGTATCCAAAAGTATCTATGTTGGGGACCGTACACATCAGTATATAAACTTTGGGTTTTCTCCTTCGATAACGAAGCAAAGGGAAGTTGCGACGTCGAACGCGTCGTTCGCGTTGTCGCATTTCGTTGCAACTGTTGTTCGATTTGTGCTCATATCTCCTAAACAAATATCGATGGCATAAATCTACAAAGTCACTTGAAAAGTAGAAGTTTAGGCCTTTGACTTGATAACCACGGACTAAAGGAAAACCTCCTGTAAACGTCAAGAAGATCCTTCAAAGCAGGGTGCTGCACTATGTGCAGCACCGGTCCGAAACGTGTTAATGTGTTAATGATAATAACCATTCTTTATTTATTGTTAGCATCGCTTTTTTTCACTGAGAATAAAGGATTACCGTTCAAACTGTAGGACAGAACAGCGCAGAAAAGCACGAGAAAGGTCACAGAATTGATTATGTACAGAATGCGAGTTTGCTAAGCGGGTTGAGTAATTAGACATTAGGATTTCCGGCAAAAAGAGTCTTTATTTCTT